AAGAATATACAGCAGAGTCCTCGTTCGCGCGAAAGGGGGACGAGAAAATGAGGAGTTGGATCGGGGGGACCGTGAATTCGTCACAATTCGCATGTCGCGCGACGTCGCTATTCCGGGCCACCCAACGGACCAGTAATTAGATTGGCCCGACGTGGATTAACCCTGTGAATTGTACGCCGTCGAGAGGAGATCCGCCGATGCCGATGCGGATTACGGGGATCCGCCGCACGTTGATCCTTCGCGTAACCGCGGGGTTTGCTCTTCGCCGAAATCTTGGTGGTATCACAGTATGACTTTCGAGCCTAACCTACCTTAACGACGTAACATAATTTTAATACAGGTCGTCGCGGCAGAACAGCGATAGAATCGCATTGTTAATTGTGATTTAAGATATTTCTACTTGTACTATCGATCCTTACAAACGTACAAATAACAAAGAAAAATTATGCATATATAAGATACATGTATTCTGTATATATAACTTATGTATATATTTATTATGCGTACATATACATATATTTTATATATATATATATGACAAGTTGAAAAAATGCTTGGTAGAATTATAACAGAATATAAGAAATACATAAAAAAGCATGAAATAATACAAAGGTATCAAACTTATAACTTATTTGTAGAATATCATTATTTTTATTCGTTTAAGTAAAATGTTTTTATGTAGAGATATAATTACACCTGTTACAATATGTTTCATAATTTATTTAGAAGTGTCGCAAGGACATTCAGCTAAATGGGGAAAGTCAAGAAAAGACCGGACTTGCTTCATCGTAGCAAGTCATGCAATATATTACGCAATTTAATGCTAAGGGATTTTGGACTACGCACCACCCATAAAACCAGTACACGTGAATTGGAGCCAATAGCTGAAGCAAATCTTGTTCTAAAGGTCCATGAAGAATTGGTATGTACTTAAATATGTATGCATATGATTAATCTTATGTAACTTGTATAATTTTACTCATATCTATTCTATCTATATCTCCTATTTTATGAAAATTGAAGTAGATTTATAAGTCTTGTCTTTTATTGATATACAATAAAATTTGTAAAAAATTCGATATTTTTTGTATCTGAGATACAAGTGTATATTTAGCTAGCTATAAAAAACAGATCTATAGGATAAATTTTGTCTGATAAAATAATTTTTTTGTTTAATTTTCTCAATTTCCAATGATTGAATTAATTAAATATATTTAATTATTTGCAGAAATGTGATTTACCTGGTGTTCCTAGAGCCACTTTCCTAATGGTTTTCAGTCCTGATGGGTAAGATTTAATAGGCAAAATGTAATAATATATTTTATTAAATCACATATAATATTATATTTTATTAGAAATCAATATTAAACAAAATTACATGTGACATATGTATAGTAGTCAATTTTATAGAATTATAGAATAATAACAGAATTGGAAAAAATTACAAGATTATAAAATGACTATTTCAGGACCATGGTAGCATCTACGCATGGAAATCACAATGTTTATATCACAGATATTACAACAGGAAAGAATATCAGAACTTTGTCTGGACATCCACGTACTCCCTGGTGCATAGCTTTCCATCCATCTTCCAGTCAGATCTTAGCATCCGGCTGTCTTGGAGGTCAAGTTCGCGTCTGGGATCTAAGTGTGAGTGTAAAATTTGGAATATCATAATTTATTTCAGTTTTAACAGCAATACATTTAAAGTTATATATGTCACAATCAAAATATCAGCAAAAGCATACAAGTTTCATAGATTGTTTTGCTATCTCTTTTTTAGTATTTACGTAAAGCTGAACACAATTCTTAAACAATTTAGGAATTATTTAATTGTTGAATTTACATTGATTTTTATAGAAAGAAATAGCATAGTGTAACGTTAATATAGAAATTATAAAGCATATTATTTGTTTTAAAATTATTAATTTGATATATATAATTGCTTGTTTTTATATTTTATATGTTATTAGGTATTTTATATGTTTAACTTATTCAATATTAATAGTAATGCAAAATTTTCTTATAAATTATTTTTGTTTCTTGCAATTTATTTTAGAAGAAATATTTTATAATTAATTTGTTATCTACCAGGAAAAATTAAATTAATCAAATATTTTTTTATTTGAAATTAAGAACTGTGTTATTTTATTATACTTTTTTATAATCCAAATTTATTTAATATTCCAAATAGTATACAAGAAATATGACTTACATTATAAATTCATTTGTATAGGGTGGTAGTGAAATTTGGAATACCGATAGCCATACTGTTATTGCCTCACTCGCGTTTCATCCCTTTGAAAGATTATTAGTCATAGCTACATGTAATGAAATTTACTTTTGGGACTGGAGTAAATCTCAACCTTTCGCCGTAGCTGCTACAAAGACTGACAAGGAAAAAGTGAGGTATGTTTATTTTAAATTGTGATTAATATAGGCTACGGATAAGAAAGAAGAAATATTACGGAAAACTCTTGCTTTCTAAAAATTGCAGATATGTAGCTTTTGACAATTTAGGAAGAAAACTAATCACAGGAATCGCTAATACACCGCAAGTACAATCACAATGGGATCGAGCTCCTATGGGGCAGTTATTTAGGACTGGTTTGATGTAAGTAAGAATATATATAGAAATAAATTTTAAATATGCGCGTGCTTACCTTTAATGTATGGATAATGTTTAAAGTTTGAAATTAAAAAGTTTTGAGTTTCGAAATAATATATAAACTAGATAATGAAATATGTGTTTGTTATAAATCTGCTGATAATAAAGTTTCATTTTTTATTTTTAAATTTCACGAATGGTTACATCAAATTGAATATCTGTTTTGAATAAAAGTTCTCTTGATCTTGATGAGTTTATAATTTCTAATTATATTTTTGTACATTATTCTGAATAATTTGGAAGAGATGTGTATTGTAATTAATCTCGTACAAATTAGGAATTTTAGGCATCAATCACGAGAAAGTTTCCCGGATATCGAACTTTCGCCTTTTCACTTGTGGAATCATGGCTCCCTATATGCAAGAGGCTCGGCGGATGGCGCCTTGTATGCAAGAGGTTCGGCGGATGGCGCCCTGTATGGAAGAGGCTCGGATGCAGACATAACTTCCCGGTATTTAAGTTAATGCAAAATCATCAAAATTCATCAGAGGAGTTTGCGAAATTTGAATAGAAATTTTTTCAGTGCATATCTGTTTATGCGCAGAGGTCATGATGTGTCCGGTTTTTCACGATTCGCCAATCAATTTAGAAACAGTACGGGGCAAGAGGAAGTGCGATTTCAGCGGCGACGAAATCTATCCGAAGGTACAATATCTATGCTATCATGGCACTATGGACATTACAAGCTAGTACAATTTCATCCGGCACTGTAACAATCGAGATTTGTCGTAATAGTTTTATGCCTTACGATGTAGAACTGAATCAAACTAGGGAAGCTACATCTTCTCCGAATATCATGAGAAATCCACCTCGCCCTGTCGGCAATCCAGCGAGCGCGGACAATAATGAAAACAGATCGGCGGATGACAGCAACGACGACGATCTGCCGAATTCGATGAGGAGGCGCGATCGAGAACTTGACGCGATGAATGACTCTCATCATAGGGATGAATTGAACAATTGGGTATGGGTCGGCGTGGACGAAAGGATACGTGGAAACAACTCTCAAGTTCCAGAAACAAGGATAAATTTATGCTACAGAGATCTCGTCGATCAATATGTGACTCTTGTGAGACGTTATTTTGATGTTTCCAGAAACAGAGATACGGTAAGCTTTACACATTATTATTGTTCATACTTTGACTAATTTTTTTTTTTATAAAGATTTATAAGGAGTATGTCGATTTTTTTTCTTTTTTTTTTTTCTTTTTTTTTTTTTTTTTAAGTATCGATCGTGGCACAGATCCCATGGATATGCCGGAGACATCATCCGTCAATTCCGAGGAATCTAGGAATAGGAACGAATCGGCAGCAACTGAATCATCTATACGAAGATTGAGAAATGAATTGAATTCTAGCGCTCAAGCGAATAACACAAATCTGGAAAGGCTGCAACGATGCCAGTGGTTATTAATGGAACGTTCCGAGCAGGAAGAGATCAGAACCACTCTTCAGAATTTGAGAGAGGCTTTGAATGCCGCTGCTGAGAATAATAGCTCGTGCTTGGTGCGATTGCAAAAATTGCGGGAGAGACTGCAACGGCAGACTGCGACTTTATTCGAACATTCTAACAATCGTAATTCTCGTCTTCAGCTGCTTCGAAATGCTTTAAACGACGAGATCGAGGCACTTAACAATATGGAGGCTCAATTCACTAATACGAGTTCTAGAATCGAACGGTTGCGAGATGAGTTCACGATGTACGGCATTCTGCCGCGAAATCGAAATATCACTACCGATTCTTCGCAGGTAAATCTAAACGATGCCGAATGGAGAACTCTTACCTCGAATGACGGACAAGTACCTAGCACTAGTTCTGCCTCGTCGATGCTGTCTTCGAGAGACGATTTGCATTCGGAATCCAATGTGTTTCCTAGCACGAGTTACGCGAGCTCAAATGAAGAGCGTAGTACAGTATGGCCCAGTACGAACAATAGTGAGAATAACAATATGTCAAGAAATACTGGAAGGGCTATGAGAAGACGATCCGATGCTTTGAGCACAGAGGATGAACCGCCAAGACGGCGAAAACGTAAATTAGGACCGATTGTACCAATGGTCTCTTATTTTGGTAATTCTATTTGAAACTACATGTGTATAATAGAGAAATAAGATTAATATCGTGTTGATCTTAAATCTATTTATTATTCTAGGAGACAGCTCGTCTTCGAGCGACGAAGGCTACTCACGAGCGTCAACGTCCCGTAACAGCGCGTCCAACTTCACGGTCTCAACTCACTCAGCGTTCCAACCGAACGTACCCAAATCTGTCACACAACGAACAAACAGCTCGCAAAATCAAGAAGCGCCAACTTCTAGTTCTTCCAGAGTGGACGAAACAGATAGGAACAATTTATCTGATAATTTAAATAACGAAGCCAATAATAATGTTCAGAATAACAGAACAACGAGAGTCACACGGAACGTACAAGAAACGAGGTCTCCAGATTTAAATCGTAGACAAGGGTAAGTGTATCTCATCTAACATTTTAAGTTTTAATAATTTTTTTTAAGATGCCATTTTAAATATCTTACATATATTTTTGAAGATGTCACATATTGGAAATTTTTAAACATTTAGAAATTCACCCTTGCTCAGGAGAGTGATAGATGTTCTGCAGATTCTTCGAGGTTTGCATGGAGATCGGACAGAAAATAATAATGCTACCCAGCAAGTATTATTAGACGACTCGGAGAATGGTTATTGGCTACTCGAAGAGAACAGTAACTCGGATTCAAATATGACGGACGATACGAATTCTAATGCCGATTCGAGCTCTCGTCGATGGACCAGCCGGTGGATACAACTACATACTTCGAGTAGGAATTCGGAATATGCTAACGACTTACCGAATGAACGAACTCAACCGAGGCCTCTTTCGGAGGACGGAGACCAAAATATCAATAGAAATAGAGAACAAAGAAATCAGTTATCGCCCGTCTCTGCGAATCCTACTCGTTACGAACAACCGCCATTATTTCCGTTTAGAAGCTTGCGAGAGAACCAATCCCAAAGAATAGAACAAAATCAAATACCCACTACTAGCGATGTCGGCAATAATCCATCTCAATCTCAGACGCTTGAATCTGGTCTTACTGATGAAACATTTGAAGAATTATCGAGATTGTTTAATCAGCCTACTGTAGCTAGTCCCGAAAGCACATCAACAATGAGCAACAGGCAACAACAGCAAAACCAGGATCAACGTAACATGGATGACCCGGATTTCGACTATGTTGATCCGGTAATGCTTGGCACTGACAATATAGATCCCAGGGAAAGTTCGCTGGGAGTTCGGCAAGGAATTCAGTTACTTAGTCGTCATATTGACAACATGCACCGCTTGTGCCGGTAAGTCAATGATATAATGCATGTTGTAGGATTTTTATAGAGCTGATATAAATTGTCTAGATATTCTAGATCATATTTTAAGTGCAAAGAATCCTGCACAAAGAGAAAAGAAATTGAAATTTTAGTATGATATAATTTAACGCTAATCAAAAGCACAACTCATAGAAATATTGGATAGTTTTTATAATTATCCAAAACATGAAAATTAAAACTCACCCTTTTAACATTGTTTCCACACAAAAAATGTACTATTTATATATATATACATACACACATTACAACTACAATACAACTTATTTTCTTTCGTTTTTTTGTCAGTCAAAAATAATTATTTATAATTCAATTTTTTTCATTTACAGAGCACGCTTAGAAATAGTTCAATTATGTCAAGTGCGCAAAATGTGGGAAGATCTACAACGACAGATACGATCGTTACACGTAACAGTCCGCGTAGAAAGACAAAACAATAATCAAGCAGAAACACAACGGGAAAATACCGCTGTCAATTCCAATCCATCAACGTCGACTGCAAGTTCACCGAGTGAATCAGCGAGAAATTTTAAGAAAGCCCTGCTGGAAAATTATCAGAGAGAAAGCGGCGAGAACGATCGTGATGCGAGCTCGTATGATCAGAGTCAGCCGTCGACATCGAGTGGGGTGACCGGAAGCTTTCTTGAGCGGAATCACGAAGATGAGCCGATGTCCAGCACTTGTAATGTCGAGGAGAGCACTAATATAAGTCTTTCAAATCTATTGCCGAGCGACGCCGAATTACGACGAATGCAGTGTCTCAAATTAAACGAGATGCTGGACGGTTTGTACGCACGGCTGACCTCGCGCTGTCAGAATTGCGATTCGCGCGTCACCGAGACACGAGCGATGAACGATCATACGTATTCCAGTTTGACGATCGACAACGATGTGCAATTACCCAGTATGTCCAGTGTTGTATCAAATATCGGAGCTAACTCGAATCTGCCAGCCGTTACTGCAATAACGACGACGGATTCGGAGCCGTTACCCAGCATCGAGAGTTTCGTCAGCAGTCTTGGTCATACCAGTCCCAATAGATCAGCTCGAGCATCGGATTCGAATGTCGATTATCCTTCAACCAGTAACGCGACTAGTAACAACAATGCTAATAACGAAGATAATATCAACTCTCATCCTTTTACACAACATCCAGCGAACGAAACTGGAGCTTCAACCTCATCACCCGACTTGCCTACCGGCAATTTTAGATCATTGGGGTGTAGAACACAGAAATATCTTCGGTATTTATGTGTATATTTTGAAAAAATAATATATTTTGTATTAAAGATGTTAATTAGATAATGTCTTTAGATTATGTCTTTAATAAAAGTATGAAACTAATCAATTTCGGATTTATATGTAAATTGCTATTTATATAAAAATAGGAATTAATTTTGTTTAAAAAAAAAAAACTTTAATTTTATATGTTAATAATTAAATTATATATAGATTTTTAAGTTTAATATATTTTATTTTTCAGACGTTTAAATGCATTGAGGTCACATCGTAATAGGCGAATTCTTAGGTCTCAATTAGCTCGTAATCCATTTCGTCATTGCGAGCATGTCAGACGACCATGGCATTTACGCAGGAATGCGCCCCAGAATAATGACAGCAGTAATAACGACAATTTAGATATGGATATCAATATCCGAGACAGAACGCGAGGTTCGAACACGTCTGAATATCTACAAAAGATGATCTTACGACTAGAATCACTGGTTCGACAGCAAAGAGCCTTGGCTCGTAACAGCCACAGAAGGTTGAATAATAATAATCGCCAATCAGAAACTAGTAGAGACAACGACAATCGTGAAATGGAAGAAATTCGTGAAGCTACAAGATTAAGAGCGAGGTAGGAAGAGCGACATATTACATGTATTATAATATATTAATATTAAAATTTTTGACATTATTTTTAAACGTTAAATGAATATTATATTCAAGAATCGTTATGCGAATAAATATGTATATAATAATAATAATAATAATAATAATAATAATAATAATAATAATAATCTATAATAATAATAATATATATTAATTAATATGATTTCAGACAAGTTCTTGGTTTGATGGTAAGATCTCTGATCCAATTCTTTGAAGTAACAAGATCAGGAAATGGTTCTCAAAGCAATGTTCTATATGAACAGATGTATAGTAAGTTCATTATATAAAATTATCGGAATATGATATAATTTGAAAAGTAAAATAAAGGAGAAAACAAACTCGTAAGATTAAATTTTTTATACGCAATTTTGTTTCCAAGAACATTAATTTTGAAAATTGATTCTTGCCATTCTACAAAATATAGAAAAAAAATTTTTGAAATTGTCACATCCGAGTTTGTTGAAAGTAAAACTGAATGTTGAATTGTTATAGCAATTTTTCTTTTTTTTTTTTTTTTTTTTTCTATAGAATTGTACGTATTGTTACATCTGGCACTGGAGCTAACAGATTTATTATTGGCACAACTGGTAATAACGAGACGAGAGCTGGAGTCTAGTCAGTACGGACCTTTCAGTTCTGATTTGTCGGTTGACAACCAAAACAGAGGCGACACGCGTGACAATAACAGCGTCGACAATAGTCTACAGACAGAAGATCAACATCGCGCAAACGATAACGTATCAAGACGGAACAGAAACAGATTCCCGAGAAATCGCGGTGAATTGTCAAATGCGGAGGAGCTTCTCTCAGTGCATGGAAACAGACGTTACCGCTTTATGGCGGAACAATTGAAGTGGTTGTTTCGCTATCGTCGAGGAGCTCAAAGCAGTAGCGGTCTGTCTGGAAATCAAACCAATAATCCAACGGCAGCTAGACCAAGCGATAACGGCGATGATGCTGATAATAATTATGACGATAATGCACAAAACGAAGATAATCGACAGTCAATTTCCGAGCACGCTCTGTCGGCAGAGGTGCAGAGTATCGTGGAAAGAATTCAAAGTAGCAGCTCGATTGACAACGATGATCGCGGAGAGGTCAGGGCAGGAGTTGAGAATCATACGATTGACGCTGCGAATGAATCACGAAACGCGAATGAAAACTATCGACGAAGTTATAGAAATGCCACAGTATCTGAACCAGCGGTGAGGCGCACCAATGAATCGAGGGGCCCGCAGGAAGCCGATTCTGATAACTGGAGAAATTACGTTTCTTATATTACGTCGGGAGATGAACAAAGCGCTAGATCGACGCATCAGAGATCTCGGTGGCTCCTCCAATACGCACGGGACGCGTGCTCATCGTTACTTGAACGACCTTTGCACAGATATGGCAACTCTGACCCGAATAACAATCGCAGATTCTCTCACAGCAGGGAAAGTGCGTCTCTCCGACGAGAATTCAATGTGCCCGAGTTACAGGTGAACAACGTACCTGTGAACGACTTGGATAATCTATCTGGTAATCCACGAAGAAGGCAGAATACGCCACCAACTCCGCCGCATACGCCTCCGCCGTACTTGATCAATAATTTTCTCCACAATGCCGACAATAGGAACAACGATCGGACAAACGAATCCGCGGATCAGCCAGGACCAAGTTGGGCTAATCAATCGAATAATAATAGAACCCGGGTATAACGTGAATTCACGATTTTATACGATTTTTTTTACGATTCGATAATCAATTGTGATTATAATGAACTGAATAATCATATTTTCATTATATTTTCGTAATTTGTAATCTTTTTAAAGATTTATATTTTACAAGTAATTTTTTTTTATTACATTCATAAATTTCTTATTATTTCTTTATATTGAAAAACGATAGATTCGATCGTTGTTTATTTAAAAGATCAATAAAGATCAATCTTATATGACTCAATAACTTATTTTTAATTGTCCATTTTTCCATTAGGTGTTGACTCCAACGATCCTGACATTATGGCGAAATCGGCTTGGGCCTTGGAGACCTCGGTACACTGAATTTGTAGCTAATATGGGATCACGAATTGGGGGAAATGCTGTTGCCAATTCCAGTAATAATAATGGCGATGATAACAGCAGAGGAGCAGGAGGAGGAAGAGGAGGAGGAAGTAATGAAGGAGGATCAGGAGGACCAGGAATAGGAGGAAGAGGGGGAGGGGGAGGAGCTGGAGGCGGAAGTGGTGGTGGAGGTGGAGGAGGAGGAGGAGGAGGAGGAGGTGGTGGTGGAGGAAGTGGAGGATTAGAGCCAGAAAATGAAGATAATGATTATTGGAATCTTGGTACATTTTTTACAAAAGTTTTAAATAAAAAATATTTTATTATATGAATAATTATCTAAATAACATTTTCGATAACTTCAAACATTTTCTATTTTTGAAATGCTGAATTTTTCAAATTGTGATTTTGGTAACATTGAATAATTTATGTTAAAAGATACACTGCAAGATACACAGATACATGTATTTCAAAGAAATATAATTCTTATGACGATTTTTAAAATTTTATTTTTAGGAAAAATGTTCTTAGAATAAATTATGCAAAAAAAGTTTTGATTCTTAGTTTCTTTTTTTTTATTTTTTCACATAAATTATCAATATTAATCGATTGTTACCTCCTATATAACATTGTAGCAAACTAATGTTTACAATTAATTTTTAAATTAATTTTTAGATTTTAGATATATATATATATATATATATATATATATATATATAACAA